ATAAAAAATGGTAAAACATTGAATTCGGACATCAAAAACCTTAGCAAGACTGAAAGGCAAAAACTAGAAAAAATATTACAACAAAGTGTTAAAACCTCATCTACAAAGAGTTTGTACAGATCATGAAGAAAATAGCAATATCTCCCACAAAAAAGAAGGGTGGTGAGTAGGCAAGTCACAAAAACTGACAGGCTACAAAGAGACATATGCAGGAAAAGATGTTAAAACTCAGTATCCAAAAGAACAAGATTTAAAAAAAAAGAATATTCAGGAAGAATTTCTTTATGAGATACACATATTAAGTATAATAATTAAAACAATATGTGTTGCAGCATAGATAGATAAGTAACCAGAGAGCCTAGAAACAGATCCAAATATTAATATACAGGGGAACTGGGTTTACCACAGAGTTAGCTTTACAAATCAGTAACAAAAGATTATTCAATAATGTTGATAATTAATGTTGTAAATAATGTTGGACTGGCTTTAAGCATAGAAAAAGATAAAGTTTATTTCCTATTTCATACCATATACAAAAATAAATACCTGTTAAAACAAAACTTAAACATTTTAGAATAAAGATTACCTTTCTGCCACTAGGATATGGAAGACAATTCACAAAAAGCAAACTATAAAAAATATCAATAAATCTGACATTAAAATTTTAAAATTCTATATGCCCAAGACATCATAAAATAAAGTAAGTCAAAGATTGGAAGGACCAATTTTCTCACTGATTTGTAACATATTTTAGATACTAATTCATGACAAAAGTATTAGTATCTTAGTATCCAAAGTATACAAATACTAATCTAAAGATACTAATACCTTTGTCATGTATTAGCATCTAAAGTATATAAAGAACTCCAACAAATAAAGAGAAAGATGTGAATAGCTGAATTTTAAATGATGGGCAAAGGATTTTAAGAGGTAGTTCAGAAAAGAGGAAACCCAAATAGCCAATAAACATGAAATGCTCAAACTCACTCATATTTATTACTCAGAGAAATGCAAATTAAAAAACATGAAATGTCATTTTGCACCCATAAGATCAACAAGTCTAACATCAACTGCTGGCCAGGATAGTGGTAGGAACTTGGTAGTTCCTAGTTAAGCTAAATACGTGATGATTCTTTAAGACCCAGTAATTCTTCTTCCACTCATCTACCCTAAACCCACTCTCAGGATGAACATAAGGAGTCAATAAAAGGATGATCATTGCAACTCTGTTACCAATGGCAAAACAGTAAAAATAAACTGTTCAGTTTATTCACATATGGACTTACTCTACAGTAGTTAAAATGAATAAACATTATTCATATATGGTAACATAGATTAATATCAAAATATAATATGAAGTTAAGAAAATCAGATTACAGAAGGAAAAGTATAACAAAATATACATATTGTTTTATGTACATATGTATATGTGTGTATATACATACATGTACACATGCAAAAAATGATGTGCACCAACTTCAAGATATATCAGCTACTTTTAGGGGAGAAAGAGAATAAAAGGACTTTGAATATGTAATTTTTTTATTTCTTAAAAATTAAAAGGTATCACACATGCATAAGAATATCTAAAGCAAAGACAGACAATATTAAGTGTTGATATTAAGCATGTGGAGCAACTAGAACTCACATACTCTACTGGTGGGAATGCAATTGGTACAATGACTTTGGCAGTACCACCTCTTTGGCAGTATCTACCAAAAGTGAACATGAACCTACCCTATGGCCCAGCAATTCTACTTGTATGTATATATCCAATAGTAATGCATACATGTGTTCACCAAAAAACATGTAGAAGAATGTAGATAGTTGCATTATTCATATAGCCAAAACTGGAAACCACCCAAATGCCCATCTTCAGGAGACTGGATAAATAAACTGGTATATTGACACAAGGAAAGAATTTACAAAAGTGAGAATGAATGAATTACAGTGACATGCAAGAACATGGATGTATCTGACAGCTAATGTTCAGTGAAAGAAGCCAGACACAAAGTATATGCAATACGAATACACTTATATAAAGTTCAAGAACAGTCAAAACTAACCTATTGTGTTACAAGTTAGGATAAGGTTACCTACGGGAGGAGGGAGGGGACTGAAAGAGGGCACAAGGGTACTTCTAGGGGTGCTGGTAAGGGTGTTTCCTCCATTTGTGTACTATTTACATGAATGTGTTCAATTTGTAAAACTTCACAGAAGTGCATAATTATGGTGCTTTTTATGTATTTTATATTGAGAAAAAAAGGAAGCAAGAAAGAAAAAAGAAAACAGGCAAATGAGGTAAAATATTAGTATGTGTTTAATCTTGGTGATGAATACATACATGAGTGTTATTTTATTTTCTGGAGTTCTGTATATATTTAAAATGCTCTAGAATTTAAAACAAAATATTTAAAAAATAAAAGCACATAGGAACTTCTAATGTTCTTTCTTATGTACTGAAGAGTGCCACTTCTTCACCATCCTGCTGGGCTATCATTTCTGAAGACTCCTATCTATCTGACTCACCTGAACAGGTGCTTTTGGGGGCTTTTCTCTCGAGCTTCAATGGTTCCTTTCCATTCTCCAAACCGTAGTTCTCAGGTTTGGAAACTGGAAGCCCTGTTCATTAAAAAAAAAAAAAAAGAACAAAGAAATGAGACTTAGCTATTGTGATGGGCACAAAGATGCATACTCGAGTATAGTCCCAACCCCTTGATCTACAAAGACTGCAAGATATTAAGGAAGATCTGGAGTAAGGGAGGATGGACCTCATAATGGAGCTTAAAGTATCTACAGCAAGAGTCTAGGCCTGGTAAGTAGTTAAATGGGATTTATAAAGACAAATATTTTTGCCTATCAAAAAAGAAAAAAATTTCTCTTAATTTTCTTATTGTGTGAGGAAATTTCAGAAAGATATTACAGATTAGTCCGTACCTTAGGAAAGAAGATGGAAAAAGTGGACTTCAGTGGCAGCACCACAAAATTGTGATTGTGGTAATTCAAGTTTTGTCTTCTAATGTTTTTTCTTTCCTCCTTCTTCATTTACTAAAGGTCACTTTCTTTTTTTTTTTAAATTTCAAAATATTAAGGAGGTACAAATGCTTTTGTTACATGTATACCTTATATAATACTTAAGTCAGGGAAAAGTCACTTTTTAGTGGGGATTTGTTACTTGAGGTTTGGGAGGTGCTAACAGTCCCTTCTACCCCTCATACAAACATATGCATTTGTGTGCGTGCGTGCACGCGCGCACACACACACACACACACACACACACAGTGGTTGGGCACAGGATCAAGAACTGGCCAGAGAGTACTCTATCACTCTGGTTCTAGTGATTATTTTACTGATGGGCATGTGACTCTATTTGCTGAAACTCCCAGGAAAGAACCATTTTCTCTTTTTGCTTAGCTCTCTGACTAGAAGAATAATGTAACCCTAGGGCTGCCAATGGCCACCTTTGCCACATGGGGAGATCCTAAGAATAAAGCTAATACAGGGAAAAATCAAGCCAACTGATTAAAAATAAATAAAACATATTCCTGATAATATATTTGATTTTCTGAATCAAGATTTTTTTTTCCCTTTAAGCTAGCGTGAATTAGATTTCTGTCACTTGAATCTAAAGAATACTGAAATAATAGAAGTATAAGCATTCACCAAGAGCCTAGAGCAGAAACAGATTTTCTTGAGGCCCAAAAGAATGAACACTTTTTGACTCCTGAATGCAAAAGTGGAGACTTTGTTAAGCTATTTGACTTTTGATAAGGTAATGATGTCTCCATAAACAGATTCCAGAGGCACAGTGAGAATCCATTCTTACAAAGCGAGACCAGGTTCCTATAGTTCTCCAGCATCACATCCCTTTGTGCAGGATCCAGCTTCCCCCACTCCTCTGGTGTAAAGTCCATGGCCACATCCTTGAATGTCACTGTTTCCTAGAAAACAAAACATAATTTTGTTCACCATCTGTGACTTGATAACCTCCCTTTCATGCCCAGGTTCTGCTGGCTCTTGAGCAAAGGCCTATGATACATTCAACAGGGGAAATGACTGTGACAAATGTAAGTATCTTAACAGTATTCAGATTCCAAATATTCTACATAAAGTCACTGGGTATCAATTATGTGCCTGGCACACCGTGCTAGATTCAATATGAGAACCAAAAGAAATAAGATCATGGTTTCTCCACTGAGATATTAAAATTTTCTGGGGAATAAAGTATTCAAACATGAACCAATAAGTCAACAATGTAGTTTGAAAAAGTACAACATAGGCAAAGGAAAGAAAGGCATGTCTGCATAATTCTCCTGTGAGTCCTCAATAAAAACCTGAAGACCCAATCTAGCCAATCATAAGATGAATTGTAATACAGAACTTATGAAGGCAGAAGTCATGAAATGCAAAGACTGGAAGTGAGCACCAAATCCAGTTAAACATGGAATTAATTCAAGTCAAAAAGTATTAAACTGGAA